AAGTGATCTGTAGCGCGATTCGTATTGTAGGCGAGTCATGCAATGAAAACAATGTTAGTCGAACTAAGTCTGCTATGATAAACGCAGTTTTGCCTTGGTGTCTAGAAATGATGAACAGCACGTTTATGGAGAGAGGCAACGCATCTGAATATTGTTTACTGGTAAATATTATCGACTAGAATGTAATTATAACATACATGTATTTGCAGTAATTGATTTACTGTGTAATTCTCGGTTTCAGAATGTATTGAACAGCGGCATGAACGATGAACCCGATTCAAAACCCGACGAGACTTTGACCAAGAAGCATAAGAAAGTAATTGACAAGATTCTGTCATGCTTGTTGGGTAAAATAAGATATGAAACAGCAACAGGCATTGCTAATAAAAACACATTAATTGAATTTATTACGCATAACATTCATTATATACTGCGTTAGATTGGGCCAAACGATTGGTCGAGCTTCGCGGTTTGCAAAAATTAATGGAAGTGGCCAGTGAAATGGTGAAATTTAAAAACAAAATCTCAATCGACATCACTTCTTCCACGCAAACTCTAATTAGTATGTACTTAACAGAAATGTATGAAAAGATGATATGCAATGATGATGATAAGAAAACATTTATCAACGCTATTGACGAATTTATTGGAGATAAATTGCCTAAATCTGACACCGAATCCAAGGTATAAATTTTGTAATTTCCGGTCTTTTCTAATTATTTAAATTGTTTCAAAAAAAAAAGAGGCAAATATCTCTTTAACAATAACATATACTTGAGAAATTTAAACTCTATTTAAAAGCAGAAATGTCAAAGAAGATTTTATTTTCAATTGTCGATATCGTATATTCTGTATATAACATAAATTAAAATATGATTATAACAGAGTTTAATCAAAATTTATTGAAGAATATGACTTTGCCATTTATCGTATTTTATAAAGCATAATTTATCAGAGATTTCTCTTATTTTCCATAAATATTAAATATTAAATAACTTTGTAGCTATTTTGATTCTTTTAAATCAAATATTGTTTCAAGCAATAATTTACAAATTGTTAATTGATTGTTTTACAGGTGCGCATGGTACTTGCGATAACAATCTTAATATTCAGCCTGTTAGATGCTCCGGGAGTCGAGTCCTTTGTGGCAAGCGTTTTGCCTTGGTGTCTGGAAATGATGAACAGCACACGTACAGTTGAGAGAGTCAACGCATCTCAATATTGTTTACAGGTAAATATTATTGACTAGAATGTAGGTAGCATACACGTATTTCACTAATTAATTTATCGTTTATAATTATGTTTCAGACTATATTGAAAACTTACAGCGGCTTAAACGATGAACCCGATTCAATACCCGACGAGGCTTCGTGCATGATGCATAAAAAAGAAATTGACACGATTCTGTCGTGTTTGTTGGATAAAATAGGAAATGAAACGACAACAAGCATTGCTAGAGACGCATTAATAGAATTTATTACACGTAACATTCATTATACTGCGTTACACTGGGCCAAACGGTTGGTCGAGTTTGGCGGTTTGCAAAAATTAATGAAGGTAGCCATAGTCAATGAAATGAATACCAACACGAATCTTTGTTGGATATCACGTCTTCCACGCAAATTATAACCAGTGTGTGTTTAGCAAAAATCGATCAAAACTTAGATGAAAATGATAAAGAAGAATTTTTCAACATCATTAATGGATTTATTAGAGAAGAATTGAATTCGCCTGAAGTAGCAAGTCATGTATGAATTTTGTAACTTTCGATCTTTCCCGATGACTTAAATTGTTTTAAAATGAAAGTAGCATATTTTTAATTATAGTATATTTGAGAAATTTTCGATATTGTATATTCAATATGTTTTAAATTAAAATATGATAATAACAGAGTTTAATCGAAATTCATTGGAGAATAACTTTCATCATATTTTATCATACTTTTTGAAGCTTAATTTACTCTTAATTAGAGATTTCTTCTATTTTCAAGTAAAGTTTAATAACACTGAAACTGTCTTGATTTAAAAAAAATAATTATTGTTTCACAAATCAAAAAAATTCATAAATTGTTAATTGTTTGTTTTACAGATCTGTGCAATAGTAGCGATGACAATCTTAACACTCGGTCCGTTTAATGTTGCAAACGCAATTATTATTGAAGACGGATTTGATGATAGGATTTTTTATTTTTTGGGAGAGAGAGGAAATGACTTATTGATACAAAAAGTGATTTGCGAATTTATCTATGCCGTTGTAACCAAATATGACGTATTCAACACGTTCATACGCCGAAGTTTCACTATATTGCGAAATCTAAGCCCATTAGCGATCTGTTTAAGAAAACAAATAACATTCCAGTAATAGACAGTGATAGTGAAGAAGATTAAATAAATCGTAGGTGTAGGCTGTAATAAGAGACGAGGGGTCTTACATTCAAAAAGCACCCCAATTTTACGGAAACGTAGTGAGAAGCAAAGG